TCTCATTGATAGCCCATGTTGCGGACTGCTTGTTCTCGGGTTGTTGGGTAGGAAAGGGGCAGGAGATACAAACAGGGTGAAGGCTAAGGTCGTAGGTGTCCCTAAAAGAATGCCACGAGGAGCCATAGAAGGAACAAGAGAGGCTGGTGTTGAAAAGAGATGAGTGTGGCTTACATGGCTGGTGTTTTCACTAGAGTCAAGAGCATTTGTTCTAATGCCTCCCAGGTCGCTAATCAGAAACAATGGTTGTGATTACAGGGAGACAGAATTCGACTCAATATGAGAAGAACGTTGAAACTCCCAACTGAGCATGGAGCATGACAGCGGGAAGGTAATGATTCTTTGTATTCTTTGTTGCTGGAGACATTCAAGTGTGCTTGAGATACTTGTTGGAGAAGCTGGGTATCCACATAGCATATGGGTTAGGGCACTAGATGACCACTTATGGACCTTCTGATGCTGGAAGCCTCTGATTATGGATGAAGTTTACTAAGGTAAGATGTTCAGGAGGGCAAACTGTATTGAACGCGCTGACATGAGGGTAGGAGAGGCATATTCACAGGTGCTCTGCTGTGACCCCTCCTTAGCCTCCTGCATGTTTCTAGGTATTCTGATCACATTTTGCAAAGAAAGCCTCCTCTGATAGAGTCACCTTACAGCAACATGTTGGTTCAGTCTTTCTTTGAATTGCTGCTGTTTTATAATTTGAAGATTCTAATATAGGAAATATATAAAATATAGAATAATTTAAAAATCCCAAATAGTCATGATAACTTCACATTATGTGAAGAATTAGGCAGTGAATGGATGTAATTTTAGAGGTCAACACACCATGTTTGTGGAGGCCTTTATTATATCCGGTTTCAACCGCCTAGAGGTTCTGGGTAATGTTATTAGCCTTCCACATAGCCATTTCTTTCTTCCTCTTCCCCTCCTGCTGCTCAGTTTCTGTTGGAGGAGCTCAGAGGGGGCAAAATCAGTGCTGTTGACTGTCTGAGTTTGGTGAGAGGTTTCTATCTGGGGAGTTGGGGGAGCGCTCAGTAAGCTCAGGAACTGAGAAATCAGTCAATAGGACCCCTTCCTGCTAACGTAGAAGAGACAGGTCAGCATCCTGATGAAGTCCGCACATGGGAGACTGGAGGAGCCTTGGCAGGTTGGGCACAGGGGCGGTGAGGTGCGCCCTGAGGATGGGGTCTTCGGACCATCACTTCATGGCTCCCCCCAGCTGCAGGGTGAGCAGGTTGCTTCCAGGGGAAAAGCTCTAAGCCTGCTTTCTCTGGTTGGTTGTTTTTCCTTCTCAGCCTGAGTGCTCCAGGTAAGCCGGGTCCTCCCTCATAAAGAGGGATTGTAGGTTCTGTTTCAGAATGAGCGGTCACTGAAATGTACTCTGGACACCATCAGGAGGCCTTTCTTAATGTTCCTCCCAGGGACATTCAGAGCAGCTGAGTGAACTGGAAACACAGTCTGTGCCCCTTTACTCTGGCTTCTTACTTCGTCTTGCAGATCATTTGCACCCTAGCTTTCCTCTACTTTCCCTGAAACCCTAATACTTCCACTAGAGCTTCTTGGAAGTAGCTGAGGCAGTAAAGAAAAATCAACATTAGGGAAAAGAAAAATGGAAGGTAATGGCTAAAATGAGGTGTGGTGTTTTTCTTTTGGGGCATCTGTAGTGCCTTTCCCAGCTCCCCCTTCTCGCTGCCCCATTGCTATGGTTACCAGACTGAAGATTTCAGGCGGAAACTTGTCTGCAGGCCTAGAGGAGAGACTGCTGGCAGTAAGCACAGAAGGCAGAGGTGGGTGCCGGTCTGAAAATAATGTCGGCATCTGCAGGTCCAGTTGTGGGCCAGCTGAGTTTCTACGGTGTGGTATGTAGCCAGCGCTTGACACCTGATGGGGTGTCCGCTTTATTTCCTTTTCAAAGATGGGCTCCGTGAGTTCCGGTGAGGCACGAGTTAGGGTGAGGGCACCTCCAAGCAGGGACTCTGTCCACAGGCTCTGGACTGGCTCTTCAGCGTATCTGAGGAGGCTGAAGCTGCAGAAGCTCAGGGAACTGCTTTACCTGACCTGACATGGCTTGAGAAGCATCTTTTTACTGTGACTCACAGTAGAAAACACTTTCCATTGCCAACCAGGACACACACACTCCCACAGCAATAATTTCACAAAGTAATATTTACTTTTCCAAAGCAGGATGCTCTTGGTTATTTTCTGATTTCCCCCCTATTTTGATGCTTCAAGAAAGCTGATGGTGAGCCCCTGAACTGACTTCACCACCTGCAAGTCCGTCCCACCCACAGTTTGAAGGTGTTGCATTTCAGAGATTTCAGGGTCTTGATTGACTTCTCTGCTGTCCGTATTCATGCATCAGATGTTTACTAGGCATGTGCCATATGCTAGAAATATGCTAGGCATGGGGAAATATAGAGGAGAGGCTTCTGGATACACAGGAGAATCCTGGTGAGGAGTCACATGTTCTGTGCAAACTCATGGCAGCTGTGGAGGTGCTGGGATTTTACAAGAAGTCTGGGGGACGCCACTCATGCGGCAGGCATTGTGTTGGGCTGAGGTTTCCTGCCCAGTCCTGGACTCTGGGTGTAGACAGCTTTTGATTGATTTTCGCGATAAGGTAGCAGCAAATGCTTTCCCGTTCTCCGGGGCTTGTCAGGACAAGGAACCCTCTGTTGTAAGAAATAATATCCAGTATCCAAGATTTCTGAATTCACTTTCCTGCTTCTCCAGTAACTGATGATTTGCCCTCAGGATGAAAATGCAGATCCCATTGGTGCAGATCACAAGACCCTTTATAATCGGGCCCCCATGGATCGTTCAAGTTTTATGTTCCATCATTTCTCATCCCTCAGAAACTCTGTTCCCTCAGTGGCCCAAACCTTTTTACATCTCTGAGGCTTTTCGTGATCTATCCTTTGCGCCTGGTGATTTTCACCGACTTTGCCTTTGGGTTATGATTCCACCTTTCATCTGTAGCTCAAATTACAGCTGCCTACAGGAGGTTCTGTTTCCTTCCTACTTCATTGAGCAGTAGCCACACCTTTCTCATCTCTCCTAAATGCTTATATTTATTACCTTGGATTTTACTATAGTTGTGAGTTTCCTGGGCACTAAACTGTGGGCAATTCAACCAATCAAAATAATCTATGGGATAGTTTTAAAGAGCCAGAGGACATTTTACAAGACCATGAGAAGATAATTATACATAAAGAGCTCAGTTACACTCTTCCAGGTAGCTACCCATTCTTTTCCCACAGATTGGCGCATTGTTCTAGAAATTTCCAGTTGGGATTCGTAGGAAGACCTAACACTCTACGTCTAAAGTGCCCCATGTAAAAAGCAACATGAGTTCTGATAGGATAGTGCTGCCTGGTTTTCCACTTTCAGACCCCTGGGCCATGAACCCGGAGCAGAAACCAGCAATTCATTCAACACTCATTTTTCAATTACCTGGTGTGTCCCAGACAGGGGGACAGGCTCCTCAGTTCAAAAGATGACTACATAGCCTGTGCTGCTTAGATTTCTGATGGTATTTTCCTGGGGGATTTTAAAAGATGGGTGAGGGGAAAAGAAAGCATATTTGCTGAGTGTGGGCTGTGTGCAGTGCACCGTTCTTCGCTTGCATAATCTGGCTTGCTCCTTGTAGTCATCCCACGAGAAGGGCTGTATTGGACCCTTCTTACAAATGAAGAAACTAAGGCCCAGAGTGGCAGACCATGGCTCCAATCACCCTGCAAATGTAGTACCAGCCAGGATCTGAGTCCAGCTGGGTGAACCCCTCCTGGTATCAGGCCAGGCGTCTCTCCCATCCCCTTGCTTGCATGACTTGAAAAGAGCAGATAAGAGGACAGGAATTCACATGGCAGAAACTATTCCAGAAAAGGGTACCTGGCTGGAATTGATAAGGGGCCGGTGAGGAAGGGAAGGACACTCTACCCAGCGTAGGAATCTGCACACACACACGAGCACAGGCTGCGCCTGCTCACTGTATGACCAGTGATCTGTTTTCTTTCACCTACAACGCCTCCTTTGAACTGAGAGCCCTGCCCCGATGAGGCCAAATGAGTGCCGGCCATTGACGCCACCAGACATACTGGGGTCAAGATGATTGGGAGGCTGATGACAAGTTCTGGGGTGAACATGACAAATATCAGAAACATCAACTCTGATGGGCTGGTTGCTTATGACTGTCTTGGTCTAACCCCTGGTAAAAGGCCAGCTCGAGATGAGGTGGCAGAACGGGCTCTCCATTGTCTCAGATCAACGGCCCAGAGAAAATGGTCTCCTCCGGGAGCTGTGCCCACTGTTCTCAGGCCAGTGGTCAGCAATCTGAAAAATAAAGTACTCATAGATTCAATTCCTGCCTGTTTATTGGCAGAGACAGGCAGCAGAAGCCAAGCCTATTCCCTGTAACAGAATGAAGAAGACTGGCTTTATGACAGGGGTTTAGGAGTTTTGGTGTTTTTTGTTTTTTTCTCCCATCAACCTGCCCTAAAACACAGGAGGTGTGAAAGGGCAGCTACTGATTCTGTGATGAATGAAGGCGTCGGAGGTCTGGCAGCCAGAAGTGGCTGTCTGAAATTGAGCTAACTTCACAAACTCCCTGTAGAGTGACCACTGCCGAACTATCTTAATTTGAAGCATTTTGTGTTTTCCAGAATAAAGCCATAATTATTTAGTAGCTGTTTTACTAGGCTACATGTGTGCACAGCTCCACCCTGTTAATGGAGGTGAAGCCCCCGGCTGCCACCTACACCCTGGGGCAGGACATTGCCGATGTTTCCCTCATATGTGGGCACAGGGCTGGGGGCATCGCCTCGGCTACAGGAAACTGGGTGTCGTGGGGTTCCTATTTGGCTCCCACTGCCTGAATGATCATCTTAGCCTACTGACTAGCTAGTGCCGCTCTTCTTGAAAAAACAAAACAACACAGGATTAAATGATTCTATATGATTGGGATCTTCCATAATTAGAAAGAAATGAAATTTACTGAAAACACAAGTAAGCGTAGCAATGAACTGAAGATTTCTCATCAAACAAAAACTAATTTTATCCAGGACTTTGGGGGCATTTCCCCTGCCTTGACAGTGCGCCTGGTTGTGTAAAGGCACTATTTGCACTATGTTCTAGAACAGCACTTCTCAAGCTTCAATGTGCTTGTGAATCCTCTGGGCATCCTGTTTAAAGCAGATTCTGCCTGATGAGCCTGGGGTGGGAGGACACTTCAAGAAGTAAGGTTCTGGACGCTTTCTCCAACTTAGCTGCACAATGATCACCTAGGAAGCTGATTATGACTTGACTGGCCTGGGGTGGGGTCTGGAT